TTGACTGAACTTCAGCCTGATCAGAAATTGTTTTATGACAAGATAATCCAAGTAACAATATTTTATTACAAAGTAGTATATATTCATCAGAGCATAACTGCCATGAGAAGTCATGGGTTGATGGTCTAAGGTTGACATTAAGAAACTGTAACAAACAGTTATCTAATAGCTAAAAAAATAAGTAATAAATAAACCAGGAAAATCAAGAACAGTAAATAAATCAATATCACTGAACATCACCAATGATATTCCTAATTGCGGTGGACTGTTATGTATGGAAGACTGTGCACATGGAGTGAGAAGACACGAATACGTTAGACCGACAAGAAGACTCTAGAAGATATGGATTTCACATGTGGCTGATTTAGGTTTAATGTTATTCAAACTTGAAGACTGACAGACGAAAGCCAACAAACTGGCTGAGGAAGCAGGCAGAGGAGATAGGACTTCAGATGAGTATAGAGAAGACGAATATGATGAAGATTATCAACCACCACAGCAACAACAACCAGCACCAGTCATCAACAACGGGAGAGATAAGACAGAGGTAACTTCATTCACTTATCTAGGCAGTAAGCATGGTTTCAACAACAGGCGATAGAACGCATGGAGATGTTAAAGCAGGCCACAATCGGAAAGACAAGATAAGCAAGCCTTCATCAACCTGCAATTAGTTTGGAAATCTGCTGCACTCAGCCAGCCAACAAGACTCGGATTTTCAACACAAATGTGAAGCCAGTCAGTTACTGAGTTGTTGTATACTGGTGAGAAACTTGTACTGCGTGTGAGTCAAGAAAAGGATTTCCAACAAGTTAAAGACTTTTGTCAACAGCTGCCCACTTCGCTGGCTGGCTCCATACTGAAGGTCAAATGGCCAGCGAGCCGAGTGGCCAGGAAGAATTAGCAACAAGAAACTCTGGTGATGGACGAACCAACCAATATCCGATTGCTCAAACCATATGTAGGAGAAAATGGAGATGGATTGGGCATGCGTTGAGGAGGTCGTCGAATGCCATTGTGAGCAACGCAGGCCATCACTCGAGTGAAATCGGAATCGGAAGTGACGAGTGGGTTGTCGGTGCAAGGGTGACATGGAGGAGATCGTGTGAGTTAGAGGAGCTGGAGGACAAGGAGGAGATTAGAGATTATGGGGAATCGTGGACCCAGATGAAGAAGAGAGTAGGGAGTAGAACAAAGTCCAGATGTGTCGTTGAAGCCGTATGTTCCACTCGGAACCCAAGAGAATAATAATAAATAAACTATTTGCTGTATCATGTCAGTTTGGCTAACATAAAATATATACGCCGTCACTCTGCAAACGTTCCATTCATACATTAAACACTAATTTAATAAAGTTTGCTGAATATTCAACTGTAGTCAACTGACAATATATAAATATATATACATATTGATTACAGCTTGATTATACACCGTATTTTTGGTGCAGGTATGGAATTTTCAGTGTGCGATATCGGTAGCCCAAATTTGCAGGCCAGCCATTGATATCAGGTGTGCGTCGGCAGGGGATCGAACCCCGGACCATATGCATGGTCGGCAAGAGTCCTAATCACTGTGCCACTGACGCACATATATGATATATCATTAGTCAACTGGAATTTCATTACATTTATTCCAATATATAGTTGGATAGTCTAGCGACACATCTCAGATCTGACGTCTTACAGATACTAGAATTCCCCTCATGAAAGTGGTATTGTGCTTCAAGCTTATGTTGTGTAAAAAGAAGCAAAGTGCACTTAGTGCACAGTCTAATCAAAGAAGACCTGAATAGTCTTTAAAGTAGCACTAAAGGTCTTGATATTCTTGGTAGCATTGTTTGTTATTCATTTAATTTCTTTGCTTTCCATGTAGAATGAATGTCTTCAAGCTTGAGTTATGAAGTTACGGTAGCAGAAGTGTTTTTTTAATGGGTGGGATTGCTAGCCTCACGCCCAACCTTTTCGATTTGTCAGGCTTAAAACAGGCTAAGGGAGGTATAAGTGTGAGCCGACTGGGAGTAGTAGCCCGGACCACATGTATGGTTGGCGTGCATTCATTCTACCGCTGAACCACCAGTGACATCTATCAGAAAGTAATTAATAATAGCCTCTTATACTGTGGTGAGAGCTTGCTGCTAGCCAAAGTTGGTAGACAGTAATTTACGTCAATCTTTATGTCCCAAATATTGGTCATGAGAAAAATGGGAACAAAGACTTTGCGTAGGCGGATGCAGTTAACATATAGATGATCTGACATTCAAGAAACAGCCACAAAGAAATGAAAGATTAACTTTCAGTAAGAAACCAACAATTAGAAGACTGTGTTTTCCTGCCAACTGTAATCTACAATAATGTACATTAAGATCTATAAATATGTGTTGATTTCCTAAATAAACGATCTGTTGCATGTCCCTTGTCTTCTGTTGTTAAAATACTATCTGTGGCTACAGAACTGTTGCATGTTTATCATCCTTGGTTTAACATTGAAAGACTGAAGCCTGGATAAGCTATGCCATGAGTATTACAATCAACCTGATAACCTTTACAAACATATGTACTGCACAGAAAAATTAGTGAAACTTAAATTCACGCATTCAACCCACTTATTGAGTCTCAGCTCAGACTACGCGGACCGCATCCTGTAGCTTTACTTAAGTTACACCATAATCCCCTTTATCTTACCTGATGTTTTTCCGCTATGACCAATGTATGGAGTTAAAATAATGACACATCTACAATTCTTTCTTGAGTATTTGCTTATCTTGACTCCAGTTATACTCTAGGTTGTGATAGTTTTCTCATGTGGTTTGACTTTCATTATAAGTGTCGTCCTTAACAGATTGTAGCTTGTGATTTTGTTGCATTTAAAATATCAAAATAAGCAACAGTCAGAGATATCTTTTGGTCGTACAGAGTATAGGTTATCCTTAAAGGGAAATATTACCAGTAAATAACTACCCACCAGAATTTATTCAAAAATGTATGAAGAACCGTAAAAGTGACGAAAATAACGAAAATTAATATGAAATTCAAAGCCTTTGTAGCACTGCCGTATAAAGAAGGGAAGTCAGAGGCCTTATGTAGAATTCTCAATGACGCTGGAATTAGGGAGATATTTAAACCAAACAACCTTCTCAGAGATAAACTTTTCGGCTTAAGAACCCAACAGATCCATTTAGGGAAAATAATATAATTTATCAAATACCATGTAACGACTGTTACTCAGGTCAACTACATAGGTCAGACTAGTAGATTGGAGAAGTCGTGACCAGTAGGGTGCAGCAGGTCGGGTGTGAGGACAAATACTTGCCGAAGACATTGGTTAGCGGTCGTGCTATGTCGTGAACTGGCAGAAGTTGGAATTCATGGGCTGGCCACTGGATCGGGTCTCAGTGTCTTAGTGGTCTACAAGCTCACTGGCCTTGTAACTAGAAGGTCGTGGGTTTGAACCCCGGTCGGTCCGTACTGATGAAGAGTCCCAAACCAGTGGGACGTAACAGCCGGTGCCCAGTACTCCCAGGTTTTCCAATGGTTCTCTAACCAATGCCAGCTGATGATGAAATCCTGTTACCAATCAAATCCCTACAAACCAACACTTAAAGATCGGAGTCAGTTAGATTATCAGAACATAAAATTCTACCTAGACCTGGAGTGATTGACCCTGCTAAGTGAAATAACCTAGAAAAAAGCTCACCCACTGCACTGCATTCACTTGCATGTAATCACACAGCCATAGGATGGGACAGGTTGACAGCGTTAAAAAGTAATATAGTTAGGTGGGGAGACAAAGAGTTTAATTACTAGAGCTTTGTTTATCGATTCGACACCTCACACGCATAGTTGAAATGACACAACGCCTCTACCGGAGATATGGAAAGTGGTAACAAACACCACAGGAAAGTTGGAGAGACAGAATTGAAAGAGAGAGAAAATATGTATAAGACAAACTGTGAAACCGTGTGTCTAAATTGATATGATTATGAGTAGCAATAATTTATGCTCCAGACGTCATCCAGTTGTTAATACTGTATTACTGTGTGATTATCAAAATTAACTTATCTAATATGGAATTACGTTCAACGACAGTGCCCAAGTTCTACACTTACATTAATTATACTTGCAGGGACTTCATGAAGGTGACAAAGAAGATTGGTTCTAGCTCGAATGAAATTCTCCCTGAAAAATTAAAATTTCTCCAACTTCTGACGCTCGTTAGGTCACTCAACTGCAGAGAAATTATAGTTTTCAGGTGAATATTCCTGATAATGTGCCAGATAAAATTTACAAGTATAGAAATATAGACTAATCCAGCGTCAACTTTGTCTTTATAATCATAGGTCAGATTTACAGCGCTTTTGTCTCTTGATCTGTATCAGTAATTGATCATTACAGTCAGCATAGAACTCCTTGCATCTGATGGCTAGAACACGTAAGTCGTTTTTCTTCTTTGCATTCTAATGGGCGTATTTTCTTTCCGGGTGGAAATAATGACTTACATACATTTGACTAAGTATAATGATTACTCATAAAAATATACGTAATATTTTATACCAAGACTATGCAATTTTTGTAATTCACTAATCAATGTCACAGGAAATAGAGTTTTAACTCTTTATGAGTAAAACTTAAATTTCTCCATATCCTATCAAAAAGATCCAATTTTTGAAAAAAAAAACAAAAAACAATTATATGCAATACCAGACTATGTCTTGTATGTACACAAATATATATGTGTATGTGAAGTTGATGAGTAAATTTCACTGTGTTGAATAGGTAAAATCTCAATTTTTTTGAGTAAAATTGTTGGTTACGAAACGACAAGAACAGCAACAACACCTACAACCAATCAGAGGATAGACAAAGTAAGTTTTAAAAGCAATAAAATGAGTCTTAGTTATAAACAAAACAGAATTAACATTTCACTGACCAATGAAAATGTTTTCACCTTGACAACAAAAAGGAAAGAAAAAGGCATCTATTATTACTATTATTATTATTATTTTATAAAGTACGCAATTTAAAAATACATTGAATATATCTATATATAGCAAGTGATGCAATAAGCGCATGATAAAGAATTAGACAATGTGATAAATAAACCAGTGTGTTACATAATTAGAAACCGCTTACATCGAGGCAACACAGAGGAAGAAAAAAGTAGTTTACAATGGAATTACTGATGTCTACACATATTTTATTTTATCAGTCAATACCTAATATAATTACCTATATACAAACAATTATTTGTCTTTTTGTATGAGTACACATCAAGTATTCATGGGATTATTATAATTCTTATTAATAAAAATAATAATAATATTGTTAATATTATGTCCAATCTGGATTTCACAGAATTGGATCAATGGTTGAAGGATTTAAATGCGCTACAGTCGGTAAGTACTGGTGTTGGTTTGTTCGTTTTTCTGATATGAAATTAGATTTCATTTCAATGTCATTGGATTGTGGGTTAGTTAGTTTACTAAGGATCAAAATAAATCTTTCAAGGATACATGAATGAATTCTGCATATTTATGAATATAATTTGTTAAACACCTTGCTTTACTCTTTGAAAAGATGATTAATTTGATGAAATGTAACTTTGCTGTCAAGTTTTGTCGTCTTAAACATTTGAAATATTCCAAAACTTCAGCTTTCTGTGTATATATAAATAGATAGACTTTGGCCTGATAGTACATCTTATTTCAACTATCCAGATGACTTTTTGAAGCCTGACGAATTGGCATTTCGTTTAAACTGACGAAGATATTTGTTTTTGGTGTTAAAGCATTTTCTGAGAGGCGGACTGTTTTTAATCATGGAGCATTCAGCACGAATGTCGATGTGATCTTAGCCCTGAAAGTATCGGCTAGATTTACAATGATTACAATGATGGTTAAACGTCCTAGTTGAAAGATCTCAGTAGATCTGGAAACATTCACTTCAGTCAAAAATCTTTTTAACTGGTTGGAAGTGCTCATTAAAAGTTTTAATGACTGATTATTGAATAAAGAATATCTTTCTCGATAAATTCATCATTAAGTTCTACATTTATACGACCATAATATTTCAAGAAGCATTGTTATTGACAACATTATTGTTTCTTTAAATTACAGCATCGGTACATTACATTTGTAAAGCATCAGTTATGGACGTTAGATAAATTAAAGGAAATAAAACAGGATTTATGAATTTATAAGTTCGATGGCACACTAGGGTAGATTTAGTGACTCGACATGTTTATTCTGCACAAAGAGCTTCGGTTGATTTAAGCGAATTGCAATGGCCTCTGCTGTTTGGAGTGTTCGGTATCTAGAGACCTTTGATAATTTATTCCATTCCTGATTGATGATAGAATAAGACTTTTCAATGGTAGCTTTCTGAGCCGCTTGGACGATATGAATCAAAATCGATATGGTGACGATTTTAATAACACTTTTATTTCGGCATTTCGGTGAGAGTTCCCGAGCACGAAAATGCAAGTTGCTAGAGTAACGGTCAATTCCACTTGCTCTATAGGAGCGCTTGTGCTGATGGATACAAATGGAGGTGACTAGTCTAGGTATTTCATAGTTCAACTTCGGAATGATAACCAGTTGTGTTGAAAATATGAGATGCAGCTCAGTGGTATTAAAAATTGTTCGAATGGATTTTTTCACCTGGTTTGGTTATTCTTTCACTTGGTATATGTCACCTTTGAATTGTTGTCGTGTATATAGTCTTCTTGCATACAGATACTGAAGAGTTCTTTTCTACTTTCTTGGTCATGTGTTTGATGTTGAACTTTTAAGGGTAGGTGTTTATAACTAACGTGTTGTAAACAACTTTAAGTTCATCTTAAAATACGTTTTCTGAACAAACAGCTCTAACTTTATAACTGAGAATTTTTACCGAATTTCTTTTATACTGATGAGGAAAAAAGCAATGAAAATGTGTTTAGTGACGTGTCCAAGTACTGTTCTCATGAGAATTCATTTTTATGCTATCTTCTGGTCAACTTGTTAGGAGAACGTCTAAAAGAGCAATTTTAATTTAGGAATTTGATGGCTAGATGTACTTCATAGAATTGAGATATTATTGTGTTCCTGCTCAAATCACTTTTACAAGGAACGAAAATATCACCCATATGCTCATAACAGAATGAGAGTCTGTTCAAAAGATCAGTTTCTAGTTTACTCAGAAAGAAGTCTGCCAATAGAGAACCCATTGTCATCCCACTCACTATTTTGGAGACATTTATATACTTGGGTTATTACTGAAGATTTTTGTGAAAAATAAGACTATACTGTTTCCCTACTAATGCATAGCAATATATCGGATGTTTCAATTTAGACGCTGGAAGTATACTAATTTATTGATAATAAATAATTACTGAATGTGTTTATAAAACTATGTACTACTGAGTGGTTGAGATGAATATTCGTACACCACTCACATCAATCTGTAGTACTTGCTAGGCAGACTAAAGTGCTGTAAATACCAGGCGTCCATTTCGGTTGTTTTGTGGTGGACGAGCCCATCAGTGGTATATCCAGTTTGATTCAGCTCAAAGGATTGAATCAGTTTAAACTAGTCGATTCCTGGCTGGTTACTTGGTAGAACTCGTAATTTTCAAGAATTTCCACAAAAACCAATTCTTGAAAACTAATCTGATACTCTCTAGTGATTGGCTACAGGACGAAGTTACCTTCAGTTGTAGTGAGAAGTCGTGACCAGTGGGATCCATCCAGTCGGGAGTGAGGATGGATGTCCTGCCGACGACAATGGTTGGTGGTCGCGCTAAATGCATCACAAATTTTTAGAAATTAGAATTCATGGGCTGGACAGTGAGTCGAGTCCTAATGACTGGATTTCAGTGATCATTAAATCTTTTTCTCTATCAGAAACCTTACAACAAGACTTTTGATTTAACTACTGCTCAGTCATATGTATAAAGAAATATGCGAATAGAATTTAAGCACTATACTAGAATACAGTTCCATAGTAACACACAATGACATACTTTCCTAAACAATGTCTGTTGGGTTAAATTTCCAGTGATGATAAAATCAGGAACCCCTTGAGATGCAGAAGTATGCAGCTGACAAGTCACATATAGGATAAATCGCGCATCCTAGATTATACTGATAATCACTATCAGACGAATAGAATCGTGTTAACCTTTAGATATTGTCGGAATGTTCGTGCTAGGGATAAGTTTCAGTCCAATACAAGTGTGACGTCTCTAGTCAAATCTTTGATGCAGACTGAATTCTATCAGTCAGGTTTACAATGTGGCCACCATTCTACGTCTGTCTCTATCACGGTGCACTTCAAACTGTTTATGTTAGATGGTTAGAGACAATCGGCAGGAAGGCCCCTAACTAGGGTTCATGCTGATTGGCATCCGTCAGCAAGGCGTATCTGCAACATCGGAGGAACTCTTGTCCCTTCTGAGATTCGAATCCGCGTCATCCAGTGAATACTGTAGTCAGAGACGTTACCACTGAGATATTCGGGGTCGCGACTGACCTCCTGTAGGGCTGCATTGGGTACTTTCATTGGACACAAGTACACTGACAATGTACATTTCAGTCTATGAAAGAAACAGAATATACCTGATGACTACGCTACTGTCTCCACAGTGAAGTGATAACTGTAATCTTATTTTGATTCTCTAAATGTCATCAATACAGGATCATATGTCCATCCACAAATAAAAGGACACAATGACTATAAAATATTTAATTGAATTTTAGATTTTCCCGTAGATTGATTGGATCGAAGTGCTTAGTCTCAGGTTGACATGTCGGCTTCATGTGCAGGTGCTTTGATTTCACTGCTAGTCACCATCCACCAATTAAATAGACTGTAAAATATGATTGTAATTATTGCTTTAGGTTCTGAGTAGAATACAGGGCTTCAGTAGCAAATCTCCACTTCACTCTCTTCTCTGCAGACCTCTTTAGTTGACTCCAAGACTGTCCATAGTTTCACATCTCCCCCTCTTAAGATTTACTTCATGTCACCTTCAGACACTGAAATCATTGTTTCCAGTCCGGCTTATACACGAAGGTCAGTCTGGTGCGTGATGTCATGCAATGATCTTCTCAACGTGTATTCTATACATTTCTTTCTGAGCATCTGTTAAGCAATAGTTTTCTAAGTTGGTTCATTCTCAGAGTTCATTGTTTCTAATCCTTCCTGACCAGCCATTCTTTCTTCAGTATCGAGACAGTGAAGGCAGTTATTAATAAAAGTCCGAAACCTGCTGAAAATGATATGTTCATGCGCAAAGTCTCTGAGCAATATAGAAGCACTGGTTTCACATTTGTTTTGGAAATCCAAACCGAGTTCTTCTTGCTGACTGTAGCAGACTCCAACACTGACTTTAGACTAATGAAGGTCTGCCTTGCCTTTCCAATCTTGGAATTAAAATCCATATTCTTAGATCAGCTGTTCGTATCTCTTTCACTGGACTAAATTTCGTGTAGTCTACTAGCCTATTCTAAGCCTCAAAAAAGTACAGGCTGAGTGCGAGGCTAACGGTGCAACCTCGACAAATCAGTCCATACGCTAAGGAAACCACAATGTATAGGGGGGAAATATATTGGAATCAGAAAGACGCAATCCAGCGAGTCGGTGAAAGTCATCTGGAAGCTAGCCAACCTATATGTCTTCTGAGACATGCAAAAGATTTAACATATAGACGTTAATAGATCCACTAACTTAGAACTGCAGAACACTTTTAGAATGCAGGCAGGAGATAACTTTAGTAATTTGACAGTCGTCTGTGTCACTGAAGTGTAAGAGGATTATTCAGGCATCATAGTGTTGTTTTTCCATAGTCAAAGCATTACGAGACCGGTTCAATGAAAGCATTTAGTTGTGACTGGTCAGTTTACAGATTTAATTACAATATTCACTTCTCATAAATAAAGTGTTACTTCCTGACTAACCATGAATCTTCTAATTTTAAAGAATCCTTCTTCTCTAGTGTATTTTCAACACTTTAAGATGTTAAGTCTTTAGGGCAGTAAAATTATGCAAAAACAATCCTCTGAAGGTGCCTTTAACGTCTATAGAACTGTCAACTTTCCACTATAATTACAGTCTTCCTTGAATGAAATACATAAATTTGGTAATCATCAGTTAAATATGTATTTGAACTATTTATGAATTCATGGTAAGGCTGAATTAAGGTGGTTTCAGTTACTTCTATTTTATGTCTGTAGTGCAGTAGCATATCGTTTACACAGTGACAATTTTAATTTTAAGTTTCAGTAGGTAGACATGGTGCTTTAATGGTTCAGTGGAGGAATGCTGGCTTTCCACGGACTTGGTCCGCTTTCGATTCCCGACTAATACATTCCTAAACCTCTCTTAGCCTGCAGTAAGTTTGATGAGTGGTGAAGGC